AGAGCACAGGAATTTAGGGGCAGGAAAGGGAGTTCCTCCCAGAGACAGCTTCTTTTTCCCAGGCTGCTCTTCTGGACGCCCCCTTCTGCAGCACTTCTGCCCGCTGTGCTCAAGGCGGGGGCTCCTGCGGGGTTCCTGCAGGTGGCCTGGGGGCCCCCCTCTGACTTGGTTTTCTCTTGTTTTAGTTTCAGAGCATCTCCTTCCAGAAGATCCAGTTTAACTTCCCCTATTTCCGAAGTGACAGGTATGGAAAGGTTAGGAATTGGATCTTCTTTTCTTTAAGTTAAATTTATTGGGGTGAATTGGGTAATAAGATTATATAGGTTTCAAGTGTAGATTTCTAGGCTACATGATCTGTATATTGCATTGTTTTACCATCACCCAAAGTGAAATCATCTTCCGTCACCATACATTTGGCTCCCTTTCCCTTTACTATCTCCCACCCCCTTCCGTCTGGTAACCACCATATTGTTGTCTGTGTCTGAGTTTCAGTTTTATATCCTACAGATGAGTGAAATCATGTAGTTCTTAGCTTTTTCTGATTGACTTACTTTGCTTGGCATAATCTGAAAGTCCATCCATGTCACAAATGGCAGTATTTCATTTCTTACGGCTGAGTAGTATTCTTTTATGTATATACTAGAGGCCGGTGCATGAAGATTCGTGCACTCGGGGGCGAGGGGTCCCTCAGCCCAGCCTGCGCCCTCTTGCAGTCTGGGACCCCTCGGGGGATGTCCACCTGCCAGCTTAGGCCCACAGCCCAGGAGCCCTTGGGGGATGTCCGTAGTAGGACATCCTTAGTGCTGCCGAGAAGGCGGGAGAGGCTACCGCCACCACCGCTGCACTTGCAGCTGTCAGCCCAGCTTGTGGCTGAGCAGAGCTCCCCCTGTGGGAGCACACTGACCATCAGGGGCAGCTCCTGTGTTGAGCATCTGTCCCCTGGTGGTCAGTGTGCATCATAGCGACCGGTTGTTCTGCCCTTAGGATCAATCTGCATATTACCCTTTTATTATATAGAATACCACATCTTCTTTATCCAGTTGTCCACTGAAGGACACTTTGGTTGTGTCCATGTCTTTTGCCACCGTGAATAATGCTGCAGTGAATGTAGGGGTGCATAAATCTTTGCCAATAAATGCTTTCAAATTTTTCGGTTATAAACTACCGAGAAGAAGGATTGCTGGGTGGTGTAGGAACTCTTCTCCTAATGTTTTGAGGCACCTCCATACTGTTTTCCATAGAAGCTGCACCAGTTTACATTCCCTCCAGCAGTGATGAGGGTTCCGTTTTCTCCCCAACCTCCCCACCGCTTATTATTACTCATCTTGTTGATAATAGGAATTGGAGTTTCTTCTTTTCTTTTTTTAAAGGTTTTTCTTTGTGGGTTTGTTTTTTTTTTTTTCGGAGAGAGGGGATGGGAGAGGGAGAGAGGAAGTTCATTGGCTGCTTCCTGCCCACAACCCGGGCATGTGCCCTGACCTGGAATCAAACAGGCAGCCTTTTGGTGCATGGACACACCCAGCCATTGGGCCACACTGGCCAGGGCAGAATTGGATTCTCTTGAAAAAAATGAACTGTCCATTTACTGCCTCTCAGACCCCATACTCGCTCTAGCTGGCTTATTGCCTCCCCTGCTGGGCAGGCTGCATGCAAAACCCGGTGTCAGAAAAAAGGTGGGCTTTGAGCTACTGTCCTGAAAATAAGCAACCAGGGCCCGGCTGGTCTCGTGGCTGCCACCGTGTCATGACCTAAGGCCTGGAAGCACCTCAGGCAGTGGCGGTGAAAAGCACGGCAGAGACCGTCCACAGCGTACTCGCAAGAGCATCGTCCATATTCCAGAGCAGTGTGCTGGTCGTCGCCCTTCTGGTTGGGCAGGTGCTCTTCTCGGAACTTCTGCCCTGTGGGATCTGTGTGTGTGAAACTGGCCGCGCACGAGGCCCTTGGAATCGGCCCTGGGTCAGAGCTGTGGTCTGCCTTCCCGCCTTGGTGCTCTGCATGTCATTGTCACCTGCTCCTCCGCATGTCACAGCACTTCGGCCTTTTCATGACGCTGTGCCCTTTGGAAGGAGGATCTGGGGAGAGTGTAGCTCAGCGGGGACTGAGCTGGGGCTGAAATTCCATCTTCAGAGGAAACTGGTGTGAGGGGGCCTCTCCCCCCAGAGGAACTCGGGCTGCGGAGTGGATCTGGCTCTCAGGTGGACCTATTCGTCGCCCAGTTGGCCTCTTCAAACCCCGACTTCATGGGTCCTTCATGAGATAAAATGTTGGCAGATAAGGCCCTGGCCGGTGTGGCTCAGTTGGTTGGGCGTCATCCATGCACCAAGAAGTTGCTTCTTTGATTCCCGGTCAGCGCACACGCCCAGATTGCAGGCTTACCAATAAAGCGTCTGTCTCCTCTCTCCTCAGAGACAAGCGGGACTTTGTATCAGCAGGTGCAGCTGCTGGCGTCGCTGCAGCCTTCGGGGCTCCCATCGGGGGGACCCTGTTCAGCCTGGAGGAGGGCTCGTCCTTCTGGAACCAAGGGCTCACGTGGAAAGTGGTGAGGAGACTTCCAAGGAAACCTTCTCCTGGACGTAACCACCCCGTTTAAGCTGTAGTTCTGACGAGCCCAGTCCTTCGCTTTAGACGCCCGTAACTGCCAAACTGTGGGCTTTCCCATGCTTCCCGTATGCCCACGCCCATCCCCCACATCACACTGCCAGGATCGTCTCTTGTTGATGAGCCACGAGGCCTGAAGGCGTGGGACTGGTCATCAGGCGGCGGCAGAGCCCAGACGTGAACCCCGACTCCTAAGAGTAGCGCGTTCTCCCTCTCACGTTCACTCTTCCTCTTGGCACAGAAGTCAGTGTGTATCTGGCCCTAAGTGAATAGATCTCACAACAGGCTGTTGAAATGAAAGCTGCTTGTGGCCTGTGGTCCATTGTCCACAAGGGGGGCCTTTCCTGCCGTGGTTACTGGACACCTCTACCGGGCCTGGCGTCGGCAGGTTTCTGTGTAGAGCAGGTTTGATGAGGAGGGTCAGGGAGGAAGTAGGACTTGTTGCTATTGAATGTTCTTGTTTTTGTCACCTGTCCCTAGCTCTTCTGCTCCATGTCTGCCACCTTCACCCTCAACTTCTTTCGTTCTGGGATTCAGTTTGGAAGTTGGGGCTCCTTCCAGCTCCCTGGATTGCTGAACTTCGGCGAGTTCAAGGTATGCTTTCGGCTCCAGAATTTGTCCCCCAGAATTTCTTTTTTTTAAATAAGATGCAATTACAGAATTTATATATATATATAGTTTATTGATTTCAGAGCGGAAGGGAGAGGGAGAGAGGGATCAGTGATAAGAGGAAATCATTGATTGGCTGCCTCCTGTATGCCCCCTATTGGGGATTGAGCCTGCAACCCGGGCATGTGCCCTTGACTGGAATCGAACCTGGGACCCTTCAGCCCGCAGGCCGACGCTCTATCCACTGAACCAAACCAGCTAGGGCCCCCAGAATTTCTTGCTTGACCGGTGACAATTGCTCTAAGTGATGGACCAGGTAGAAGCAATCAGGGGCAGCTTCTGGCGGGGCTCTCTGCCCCTGTAGCCTCCTGTGGGTGCCTCTGCCCGGTGTGGGCAGGCCCAGCACTGCACTGGCTCTTGAAGAGAGAAGGCAGCCTCCCCTCCTGTGTCTGTCTGCTCCGCCTCCACCCCTTCCTGTTCTCATGGGCACCATGGTTTTTCTCTCCCTTTCCTGCCCCTTCTCTCAGTGCTCTGACTCTGATAAAAAATGTCACCTCTGGACAGCTGTGGATTTGGGTTTCTTCGTCCTGATGGGGGTCATTGGGGGCCTCCTGGGAGCCACATTCAACTGTCTGAACAAGAGGCTTGCAAAGTACCGGATGCGAAACGTGCACCCGAAGCCTAAGCTCGTCAGGTATCTGCCAGCCGCCTCCCCCAGCCTGCGGGGCTCCCCGAGCTCCGTGGGGATGGGCCGTCTCCCCGAGGGAGGCGGTGGTGTGAACAGACCCTGCATCCCACACCAGCTCTGATTTCACAACTGAGGCAGAACGTACCAGGGGTCGTGTCCACTGTATTTGTCAGGCCTAAGGCTGAGTCAGAGTGGCTGGTTGCCTCCCCGCCCCACCTGACTTCCACTAGGACGCATGACAGTCAGACAGGTCAGTGCGATTCTCACCCCTGGGACCTAAAATGTAAGGCACTCTGTTCCCCAGAGAGAGATGATGTGGATGCAGCAGCCTTGTCCCTGGCCGCCCACTGTTTACATAGGAATTGCTGAACGCAGCATGTCGCTGACAGATTCTGCGCGTGCTGACTGGCGGGGGCGCCTCCACATGCTCTTTGGGGAGAGGGGTTAGGGGTAGGCGGGGTTGTATATTTGAGTTCCCAAGACTGGGGTGTCTTATTACCTATAACAGCTGTCCTTTGCTTCCTAGAGTCTTAGAGAGCCTCCTGGTATCTCTGGTAACCACCGTGGTGGTGTTTGTGGCCTCGATGGTGTTAGGAGAATGCCGACAGATGTCTTCAAGTCAAATCGGGAATGACTCGCTCCTGCTCCAGGTAACCCCCGTGCACCTGCTCCCTCTGTCCTGCCTCCACACAAGGGTCCAGAAATGGGTGCGTGCCGCTTAGAGCTCAGGAGTGTGTGGGTTCATGGTTCCCACCTGATCAGATTGCCGAGAGGGATGTGCAGTCGCCTTTTCACAGGAGAGAGGATGTGCACCTCCGTCCTTTTCATGTTTGTGGATGATCTGGTTATCATAGAGGGGACTCCTGTCTGTCTGTCTGTCTGTCTCTCTGTTGAACAACACTAATCGGAAACAGAAGCTCGGGAAATGGACCATCTGCTTCTCCGGCTCCAGTTTCCGTTCTCGCTCCCCACACCTGAATGTGCTACCAGCACCCCCTGCGCCCCCTGAAAGGAGCGCCTGCCCAGGAGAACAGCAGTCCTGCTTCCTCATGGCTCCGAGGCACTTACTGGCACACGTCCTGTCGCATTTCTCCTTTCCCTTCTTAGGACGATGGTCTTTTTCAGAACCTTCCCCTGAAAGAGCAGGTCCGTGAGGTAGGATTGGAGTTTACTCTACCCTGTGTTTTTGGATCAAACTAGGACGTGGGTCTGAGCTGGACTGTGGTTGGTCAGCTGTGTGGTCTGGACTGCAGGGGGTGCCGGGGGAGTGCTAGGTACCTGTCATCGTACAGTCCCTGGATGGCACTCTGTGCCTCAGAGCCCCTTTGGAGCCTTTGTCTTGGCTGCTGCTTTAGTGTCCCCAGGGTCTGTCCATGTGCAGCTAGACCAGCCGTGGGCAAACTACGGCCCGCGGGCCGGATCCGGCCCGTTCGGCTGTTCTATCCGGCCCGCGGAGCCAAAAGAGCGGAGGGTTCTCTTGCTCTCACCTCCGCTCCTTCACCAGCAGCAGTGTTAACATGTACTAGTTCACACAAACACTCCATCCATGCTTTTGTTCCGGCCCTCCGGTCCAGTTTAAGAACCCATTGTGGCCCTCGAGTCAAAAAGTTTGCCCACCCCTGAGCTAGACCATATCAGATCAGAGATGGGCAAACTATAGCTCACAGGCCAGATCTGGCCCTACACACCTGCTTGTTTCTGTGGAACCCCCAAGCTAAGAATGGTTTTTACATTTTTAAAGAGCTGAGAAAGATGGAGAAGATGGGCCATCGCTTGCAAAGGCTAAAATATTTACTATCTGGCTCTTTACGGAAAAATGTGGCTGACCCATTACTAGTTACCAGGCCACATTTCTAAAATGTGTTCCAAGGAACATTGATTTATATTATTTAGAAACAAATGGAAAAGGATTCTGTGGTCAAATGAGTTAACCAGAATTAAGTAAGTTTCTTTAATGCCAGACTTTCTAAGGCCCTTAAAATTCCAGGGAGAGTTATGAACAGTTGGAATGTTTATTGTGCCAGATATTCCACCAAGCTCTTTACATACATGATCATATAATCCTTACCACTACCATGTTGGCTGATGTTTTTATTCCCATTTTCCAGATGGGAAAATGGAGGCAAAGTGAGGTCTTGACCAAGATCACTCAGCTAGTAAAATATAGCATGAGGTGGGAATATTCCCAATTTATAGATGAGAAGCTGAAGCATCACAAAATGAAGTATCTTTGCTAAGGTCACCGGAGTGTCCACCCCTCTGGCTATGGACCCTGCGCTCTGCTTTTGGTGGAAACTCTGATTTCCAACAGGTGCTCTGGAGCTTCTCAGTGCATTGACTGCAGGACTTTCCAGAGAGCCTTCAGGACTGGTGTTCCTCCAGACGTAGTTTGGGAACCACTGCCTGTGTGTCTTCTCAGCTCGCTCTCCGCTCTCGGGTTACTATTGTAAACACGTTTCTCCTTTGCCAGCTCTTCCTGTCATGTTCCACCACTAGGGGGCACTGTCCTATTTCCTAGGCAGCCTTCGTCTAACTGTGTTGGCCAGCCAGGTTCACCTGGTGGGTTTATCCAAACTACCACCCGGTCCACCTAGTATTGTTGCAGTGTTCACACAAGGGCATCTCTACAGTGTTATTCATAGAATGGAGTCCAGGAAAAGTCCATATCCTTACTGAGCTTTGTAACAACACTTACACTATTGGACACCATCAAATAGAAAACACTCTTCCTGTCATGTTCCACCACTAGGGGGCACTGTCCTATTTCCTAGGCAGCCTTCGTCTAACTGTGTTGGCCAGCCAGGTTCACCTGGTGGGTTTATCCAAACTACCACCCGGTCCACCTAGTATTGTTGCAGTGTTCACACAAGGGCATCTCTACAGTGTTATTCATAGAATGGAGTCCAGGAAAAGTCCATATGCTTACTGAGCTTTGTAACAACACTTATACTATTGGACACCATCAAATAGAAAAGAACTTTCATAATCCAAATTCCCTTACCCTCTAATGAGCAAGGCAGTACCGGAATTTCCTCTTCCTACACAAAATGATGGGGAGAGTGGGAGGTCTGAAATGTGGAGAAATAATCTCTTCCCATCGGGGTTTTGTTCAGCCAGGCGGAGCCTGCGGGCGGCAGCCAGGAGCACGGTGTCTGCACCGTGTGGAAGTGGTTTAGCTTCTGCAGCAAATTCAGGGCGGAGTCTTTTTTCATATGGAACCAAAGCTGGGGCATTAGGTCAGGCCGTACCCTGGGAGCTCCTCTGAAAAGCTGTCAGCTCCCAACCACTGGTCTGTCACCTGCCTCATCTTCCCCTAGTCCGTGCGGTTTCCAGCCAGGCTTCCAGGAGTGTCACACACAAAATGAGCCCTGGGAGAAGAGACGGCGGATTCCCTGGGAATCATCGTAGTTACAGTGTCATTATGAGTGGATGAGCGAGGGCCCACATCTTGGTTCATTCATTCTCAAAATGCAAGGAACACAGTATCAGTTGGCCGCTCTTGGGTCTAAATCTGTTTTTGCTACCGGTTTAATTCACAGGAAAAGCCTGGATGCCAGACTCTTTTGACCTAGGTGGGGACCTCCCACTTGAAGATTCCAGTGCCCTGGTCAGGTGCTGACCTTGTACTGATTTCTGTTTCTTAGGTCACATCAGAAGATGTGAATTCAAGTATCAAGACCTTTTTTTGTCCCAATGAGACCTACAATGACATGGCCACCCTCTTCTTCAATCCCCAGGAGTCTGCTATCCTTCAGCTCTTCCACCAGGATGGTGAGCCCCAGTGCGCCTCCCCATCCTGTGCTCCTCTGTTGGCCCTCAGATGCAGCCAGGCTTACCCTTAATTCTGAGCAAAAAGCAGGACTTTCTCCTTGTAATTCCAACCCGGACAAGGTTAGCCTTCTGCCTCCAGTGTGGGAGGCGACCTGGTTAGTGTGCAGAAGGACTTGTGGGGACCAAGGTGGGCATGGCGGGCACCTGGCAGTGGGGCTCAGTCTGTCCTTGCCTTGCAGGTACCTTCAGCCCCATCACTTTGGCTTTGTTCTTCATCCTTTATTTCTTGCTTGCGTGTTGGACTTACGGCATTTCTGTTCCAAGTGGCCTCTTTGTGCCTTCTCTGCTGTGTGGAGCTGCTTTTGGACGTTTAGTTGCCAATGTCCTCAAAAGGTACAGTGTGTGCACGTGTGTACATGTGCAAGTGCTCGAACCGTAGCCCTGCCCCCCACCCAGCATGATCCCAAGGCATATTCTTGTTTTCTCTCTTCACCAGCTACATTGGATTGGGCCATGTCTATTCGGGGACCTTTGCCCTGATTGGTGCCGCGGCTTTCCTGGGCGGGGTCGTCCGTATGACCATCAGTCTCACGGTCATCCTGATTGAATCCACCAATGAGATCACTTATGGGCTTCCCATTATGATCACTCTGATGGTGAGCACTCCCCTTCTAGTCCACTTTCGGGTTCAGGGCCAAGTTCGCCCCACAGCAGCCTCTTTTCAAGTCTTTACTTTGTGTTTCAGGTGGCCAAGTGGACAGGGGACTTTTTCAATAAGGGCATTTACGACATCCACGTGGGCCTGCGAGGAGTGCCGCTTCTGGAGTGGGAGACAGAGGCGGAAATGGACAGGTGAGGCCATGAGGTCTCGTCACATCCTAGGGCCCAAGGAATGTTTGTATCAGGGTAGGAAATGGTTACTTAGATTCTTGGGTGAGAATGAAGTGAAACGGGGTCATTAAAAGAGCAAGTATGTTTGGGAACATTGAGCAGGGCCTGTGGCTGGGAGCTGGGAGCTGGGGCAGGGCATGGAGGGCAGGGCTGATGCATGGCTTTGATTGGGTCCTGTGTTCTGGTTCAATAGGAAGTGAGGGCTGTGCATAAAGTCTGTGTTAGGATCGAATGTCTAAACTACAGGCATGCTAGCCCTGTCTGGCTATTCTCAGTGGTTAGGGTGCCTGAGGACCGAAGGGTTGCGGGCTCAATTCCTAGTCGTACCTCGGTTGCGGGTTTGCTCCCCACCCCAGTCAGGACGTGTGCAGGAGGCAACCAGTCCATGTGTCTCCCTCACATCAATGTTTCTCTCTCTCTATCTCCCCTCCTCCTCCTCCTTCCCTTTCACTCTGAAAATCAATGGAAAAAATATCCTCAAGTGAGGATTAAGCTAAGGGTCTGCTAGCCCTGTTTGAGCACTAGGCTGCCTCACGTGTGCCTAACGAAATCTCGTATTATATTCACCTAATTGCCCATCAGCCCACAAATGGTTTGGGCCTCCTACGTCTGGTACCACACAAGTCCCTGTGGTCTAGCGTAGGGTGTTCAAGCCTCTGTAAAGGGCAGAGTCAGTGTTGTCAGCTCTGCAGGCACGTGGTCTCTGCCCTGGTGATGCAGAGGCAGCGTCGACGGCATGTAGACAAGACAGGCAGGGACTTGCCCTGTGGCTGCAGCTGCCATCCTGGTCTAAAGGGACACCAGACTTTTTTTTTAATCCCAATAGTGTAATTACCAGCTCAGTGCGGTACGAGGAATGTGCCCTGGGGTGCTGAGGAGGGGGCGGCCGGGCGGTCCCCTGGGCAAGCAGAGGGGTTTGTGGTGAGGGGACTTTTCATGTTGAGCCGAGGGATGAGCCCAGGCCCACACAAAGCGGGGAAGGACGTTTCAGGCCTGGGGAAGGGCATGTGCAGCAGGAGAGCCAGTGCAGCCCATCGCACTTGCCCTGGGTGCCGTGGGCTCAGGCGTGGGGCTGATGGCTTCCCTCCCTCCCTAGACTGAGAGCCAGTGACATCATGGAGCCCAACCTGACCTACGTCTACCCGCATACCCGCATCCAGTCTCTCGTCAGCATCCTACGCACCACTGTCCACCACGCCTTCCCCGTGGTCACCGAGAACCGGGGCAACGAGAAGGAGTTCATGAAGGGCAACCAGCTCATCAGTAACAACATCAAGTTCAAGGTGAGAAAACAGCCGAGAGGAGGGGGGTGTGGCAATGGTTCCATGGTGCTCACATTGACTGGTGCTCGTCACGCCCCACAGGTGGGTGGCTCTTAGGAGAAATCAGCACCCCATTATGTGCGACAGTGAGTGTAGACTCGACAGCGAGTGTGGACTCCGTTAGGCCATCAGGGCGTGTCCATTCTCCCAGTAAGCACGGGCACGGGTTTGTTTTGTTCTGTTTTTAAGTGTATTTTTATTGAGTTCAGAGAAGGGGGAGAGGGATAGACACATCAATGATGAAGAAAAATCATTAATCAGCTGTCTCCTGCACGCCCCACAATGGGCATGGGAGCCTGCAACCCAGGAATCGAACTGTGACCTCCTGGTTCATAGGTCAATGCTCACTGCTGAGCCACACCAGCTGGGTGGGACAGATTTGTTTTTAATCAGCAGTCTTCGGGATTCCTGCAAGTTGGATCTGTGAGGGTTCTAGAGTTGCCAACCACAGAAATGGACTTGGCCCTACACAAGAGAGGAAAAGAAGTCATTTGGAAGCGGCAGGACTGACAGGAAGTGAAGGAGCCAGAGCCTGGTGCTCGGGCGTGCAGGCAGCGGGGGGACCCTCTGGGAGACCGGGCCTCAGAGCTGCTGTTCTCTGTCCTTGGGCTGCTCCCGGTTTGAAATCCCGGCAGAGGGAGAGTCCTGTTGCCTCACCTGGGTCGTGTGCCCACCCCTGGGCTTGCTGGGAGCGACGGTTTGTTCCCCACTGGACAATTGAGGTGCTTTTCCAAATCCAAGGAGCAGGGATGTTGGGCCGGCAGAAACCACAGGGTCTGCAGCAAGCCCTGCGGAGCCCAGAGGCTCCTGTGAACTGGCCCCTGAGCCACTGCCAGCGTTTCCTGCAGTTCCTGTCGGCATGTGCTTTTGATCCCCACTGCCCCCCAAATCCTTACGCTCAGTAGGTGCTGTGTTGGTGTGCCTGCACATGCAGCAGTCCAGGGCCTCCCTGGTGGATACCTCTGCCATTGCCACCCCTCCCACCCACAGAAGTCCAGCATCCTCACCCGAGCCGGCGAGCAGCGCAGGCGCAGCCAGTCCATGAAGTCCTACCCGTCGAGTGAGCTGCGGAACGTGTGTGACGAGCACGTGACCTCCGAGGAGCCGGCCGAGAAGGAGGACCTCCTGCAGCAGATGCTCGAGCGGAGGTGAGCGCACAGTCCTCCCCGCGCAGGCCCCCGGCATCTACGGGGTTCAGGAGGGGCCGGCCCCCTGCTCCGGCTGTTAGGTAGCTCCCGGGTTCTTTGGGAATTTGGGGGGTGGGTTGGGACCTGGGTGAAACGCGATCCTGCTGAGGGTATACTAGGCAGCGTCTGGTTTTTATATAACAGATACACTCCCTACCCCAACCTATACCCTGACCAGTCCCCAAGTGAAGACTGGACCATGGAGGAACGCTTCCGCCCTCTGACCTTCCACGGCCTGATCCTGCGGTCGCAACTTGTCACCCTGCTCGTCCGAGGAGTTTGCTATTCTGAAAGCCAGTCGGTAAGTGTCTCTTGCCCGCACCGCATTCCGGAGGCAGGAGGGTAGGAGCACACTTCCGCCTCAGGAGAAGGGGAGACAGGGAGTCATGTGCCAGTAGCTGCTTAGGGGGCGCATGCCACCCTGCTTCCCTCTGCTGCAGTTGGTGTCCTCCCGGGTCACCAGAATCGAACGTGAGTCCCCGCATTCTCCACGCATTCTCCACGCAGTCTCTGCACCTGTGTCAGGCGTCCTGCCAGCCTGCAGGCTTTTCACAGTCTCTACATTTTATTTTATTGGTTTTTTTACAGAGAGGAAGGGAGGGGGATAGAGAGTTAGAAACATCGATCAGCTGCCTCCTGCACGCCCCCTACTGGGGATGTGCCCGCAACCCAGGTACATGCCCTTGACCGGAATCAACCCTGGGACCCTTGAGTCCACAGGCCGACGCTCTATCCACTGAGCCAAACCGGTTACGGCTGTAGTCTCTATATTTTAGTTTCTGGTGTGCATGAACCTCCTTACATGTGTTACCGGAAGAAGTCCCATTCTTTCTGTGAGTCCCCTGCCAGTTCTCTCTCTTTCGTTTGGTTTTTGTAGAGAGAAGCAGGGGTTGGCGGGGGTGTTGTTCAGAGTGGCCCCGCTCACTCACACTCATCCTGAGAAAGGAGCCTGAAAACGTTTCCTAGAGACCTGGTTTCCAAACTGGCGCTCCTGGTTCGGGCCTTGTCCGTAGGGGTCAGCCTCCGGTCCCTCGTGCCCCAAGTGGCCTGCAGAAGAGCAGCTAACGGGGCAGGGCAGGGAGAGCCATGGTGCAGAGCCTGGGCCCTGAGCGTGTGGTCTGTGGGGAGGACACGCCTGGCTGGAATCGGGCACAGGGGCCAAGGAAGTGGAGGCATGAAGCCAGATAGACAGAGGCCTCGCCTGCAGGCAGGAACCAGCCAGAGCCGGCCGGTGCAGCACTGGGAGGCAGTGGTGCACGGAGAAAGCTGTGTCAGAGTGGAGTTAGGGGAGGAAGACAGGGACAGAGCAGTGACCAGTACGTGTGGTCACTTGTGGTGGCCCAGGTGCCCAGTGACAGCAGCAGTGAGACTCGGGATGGAGGAAGTAGCAGCTGTTGCCTGAGTTTGCTGTGGCTGCTGCGTCCAGTTGCCACTAACAGATGGCTTCACACAAGTTTGCTGTTCATAGCTCTCAAGGCCAGAGCACAGAGTCCAGGTGTCGGCGGGGCCACACTCTCTCTGGCGGCTCCAGGGGAGATCCTCTCTCGCCCTCCTGGTCTGTGGCGGTGCCAGCGGTCCTTGACATTCCTGACTGCAGACCGATCACCCCCCCTCCTCCTCATCATGTGGTCTTCTCCCTGTGTCTCCTCTTTGTATAAGGACAGCAGTCATGGGATCCAAGGCCCGCCCCAATCCAGTATGACCTCGTCTGACCTTGATCACATCTGCGGAGACCTGGCTTCCAATCAGGCCACATTCACAGGCACCGGGGTTGGACTTGGACATCTCTTTTGGGGGCACACAAGTCAACCCACTCAGCTACTATGAGTTAGCACTTTTCTCCTTTAAACTTCACTGGCCCATGTCCATTTTACAGGTGCAGGAAAGGGAAGTTTGGGGGATTAGGAGGCTTGCCTGGGGGACACAGCAGGGAGCAGGCTGGGAACTGGCTCTGGATCACTGTGTCTCACTCCAAAGCACGTGTTCCGGCCACGGCCCCGCCCCCCCTCACTCTGGGGGACCATGGCTGAGCGGATACAGACCGGACGAGGGGGGGCTCTACACGTGACCCTGCCTGTTGCTGCACTCCCTGCAAGGACAGTGTCTTGTTGGGTTTGCAGAGCGCCAGCCAGCCGCGCCTTTCCTACGCGGAGATGGCCGAGGATTACCCACGGTACCCTGACATCCACGACCTGGACCTGACGGGCACGTGCCCTTGACTGGAATCAAACCTGGGAACCTTCAGTCTGCAGGCCAACGCTCTATCCACTGAGCCAAACCAGCTAGGGCATCACCTTTGTTGGCTGCGGCACTTGCCGGTGGTGAATGCCGTGGGAGAGGTGAGAGTTCCGGGGGGGTGCGGGGGGAGGGAGCACCCAGGGGGAGGGAGCACCCACGGCCTGTAGCAGCCTGGCCTCGCCCGCCCCCCCATCACCACCACCTTCAGGAAAGGACCCTCCAACCACAGAATCCAGCAGGGAGGCCTCTAGACTAAAACCTCCTCTGAAACTCCCACCAGGAGTGAGGAGGGAGTGGGCGCGTGGAACCTGGGGTAACTTCACGCACCTTCCCCCTTCACCTTCGGTTTCTTATCTGCAATCTCCAGCGTGGCCAGCAGATGTCGCCAGTGGCACCGTGGACTAGAAGAGTTTAGGGCCGTCTCTTCACCCAAGACCTGGCAGCACCTGGGTGGGTGGGGTGAGGTGTCTGTTCCCCAGCTGCCACGG